ACAGTTTTTAGCAGGAGAGCTAGGAATTGTCAGGAAAGCTGCAGGTTACTTTGAGACAGTCCTCCCAGATGCATTAGAGGAACTGTAAAAATCTGGCACAGAAGGAACGATGATTCATAGGCAGAAAAGTTACTGCAGCTCCAACAGGAAGCCCTTCTTGTTCAGGACTTTCAGAGCCACAGTTTGCAAAAAGTGCAGCTATTGATGAATGCAATGTAGTGTCAGTTAGATGTACATTCCTGAGGTCTTTTATCTGTTGTAGCTTTGTCTTTTTCTTTTCATTTCATCAGGTATAATTGCCCTGTAAATTGTGGTAGTGGTACCAGGAATAAAAAATTAAGGAATTTTTTACCTTTCAATATTTGTGTAGTTCAGTTTTTCTACATTTTTTAGTACAGAAACTTTGACAAAATGCAGTTTTGAAGGTGTTTCCTTGTGAATTAATAAGTAAAGCAGATCATTGTTAATCATTATTTTGTATGAATTTTGCTAAAGTTAACTATAAAGAAACACTTGCTGACTTGCAGTTTAAGGGGAATCTATTCTCCTCAAATCCAAACCATGATATGAATGGGCACTGACATGTGGAGAGAATAAGATATTTTTATGTTTGCAATGTGTGTGTTAGATAATAACTAGGATTGGATATTTCAATTAGTATGTTTGTGAATTCATAGCAGTAAGAGTTACCTTCAATGAAAAACTCAAAATTCCTATGTCATTTTTTGTGCATTTTCTTTTAAAAAACTATAATCAGATTTGATTTTTAGTGTATTAGCTTTGCTAAAGTCCTAGCTGTGTTTTAAAAAATAATACATTTACTTTGGTCACATTTGAACTGCTGCCATAATTTTATTTGGGTGTAAAGAATTTCTGCTGTCCTCTGCTTAAATTCTGGAATAGGGTAGTGGATATTTTTACCCTATTTTCCTACTTTAAAAATGATTCATTAAAACTTACCACTAAGCCCGCTGTACCCAAGCAAATTAGTGGTTACCTTTTAAAAGCAAAATTCTTTTTGAGGCTCTTATAAATCTTAAGTTCTTTTCCTTGGTTTAATTTTTTTTAATTATAACAAGCTCTCAGAGCAAGAGAATAAAAATCATGCATTGTTGAACCCTTTAAAATAAATGAATAAATAAAAATAAAACAGTTAATGCTTAAATAATCCTGAGTTTAGCTCTGTTTAGTGTGGAGTCAGTTCTGTTAGATAGCCATTACACTTATTAATAAAAAAAGACTTTTCATAATGTTAAAAGTTTAATAATCTTAAATAGCAATAGTCTAGTTCTATGTATACCATAAAATAAATACAAATATGTAGACTGTAATACATATTGTACCTCCAGAGGGTATCTTTAAGTATGCTTTAACTACATAAAAGGAAAAAATAAGATGGGAAAACAAATTTTAATAGTTACCAGTGAAGTGGAATTTTCATTTAGTATTTTTAAATGATGGAAATGTTATAGACTGTACATTTCATTTTATTAATGTGAATATATTGAGGTAATTTCATATCTTCTATTGTTTTCTAATCAAAATATTTACCATAATTTATATGAATATATTTTAGATATAAATGTGTAGTTCTATGTTTCCCCAAAAGGATACCGTACTATTAAACTGGTTGTTAATTACCTCTCTATTTAAAAGGGCATAAAATATGACCATTAATTCTTTCTACTTTATTCATAACCCTTTGGGTTCTAGACAGAATATATTTTTTTTTCACAATTTCTTTTCAAGTTTAAGAAATTATTGAAAATGTCATGTTATTTAAATATTTAGCAATAGGATAGTGTATTTGTTTGTATTAATCTCCTAACAATAAACCAAAAAAAAAAAAACAACTCAGTGATTTATAACAACAAAGTTGTACTTCCATTCAATATATGTTTTATTGACTGGAGTTGGAAGTAGCACTGCTAAAACTTTCCCAATATTTAGTGAAATATGTCATTAAGAAATTGGTGTTAGACAAGCCATATAAGTTTACAATATATAATAAAATTTACTGAAAGAACAAGTAGTGTAAACTATAGCAAAGTGATTAACCTTGAGTGAGATATTTTGTTATTGTTGTTATTAGGTGCCTTTGAATTGATTTTGACTTGGTGCACAACAGAATGAAACAAGAATTCAATTCTTGCCATCATTGCTTATAAAGAGCATTCTGGCTATACTTCTTCTAAGATGTATTTCTTTGTTCTTCTGGCAATGTATGGAACTTTGAATATTCTTCCCCAACATCATAATTCAAATGCATCGATTCTTCTGTGGTCTTCCTTTTCATTGTCCAACTTTCACACGCATATGAGGCAATTGAAGGAACACGACTTGGTGTTAGGGGTACTTATTCCTCAAAATGACTTCTTTACTCTTTAACATTTTAAAGAGGTCATTTGCAGAATATTTGCCAATACAACATGTCATTTGATTTCTTGGTTGGTACTGTCATGAGAATTGATTGTGGACCCAAACAAAATGAAGTCTTTAACTACTTCAATCTTATTTGTTTATTATGGTGCTATTTGTTGATCCAATTGTGAGGATTTTTGTTTTCTTTACATTGAAATGCAATCCATAATGTAGGATGTAGCCTTTGATCTTCATCAATATTTCAAGTCCTGTTGGCTTCCAGCAAGCAAGGTTATGTCAGGTTGTTAATGAGTCTTCCTATAATCCTGAACGCCACATTCTTCATATAATTCAGTTTCTCAGATTATTTTCTCAGCATGTAGATTGAAAGTATACAACTCTGCCATACACTTTTCCGGATTTTTAAGCCATTTGGTACCCCTTGTTGTGTCAAATGACTGCCTCTTGCTCTATGTACCATTTCCTAATGAACACAAGTGTTCTGGAATACCCATTCTTCATGGTACTAAATAGTTTGCTGTGATCCACACAGTCTAATTCCTTTGCCTAGTAAATAAAGCACAAGTAAAACATCTTTCTAGTATTCTTTGCTTTCAGTCAAGAGCCTTCTGACATCGACAGCAATAATCCTTAGTTCTACCTCCTCTTCTGAATCCAGCTTGAATTTTGGTCAGTTCTTCAGTTCCCTGTGGATGGACTGCGTAACCATCTTTTAGTTATCTTTAGTAGAATTTTGCCTGTATGTCATATTAATGATGCTGTTTGATGATGATTTCCACATTCCGTTGGGTCACATCTCTTTAAAATGGGCGCAAATATGGATCTCTTCCAGTTGCTTGACTTACATAGTTGTCTTCTAAATTTCATGGCATAGATGAGTGAACCCCTCCAGTGCTGCATCAGTTTGTTTGTTAAAAGATTTGAATTGCCATTTCATCAATTCCTTGAATTGCCATTTCATCAATTCCTTGAATTGTCATTTCATCAATTCCTGAAGCCTGTTTTTCAGTAGTGCCTTCAGTGCAGCTAAGACGTCTTCCTTCAGTACCACGTTTTTGAATCATATGCTGCCTCTTGAAATGGTTGGTTATCAGCTAGTTCTTTGTGGTAATAGTGATTCTGTATTCCTTTTATATTATTTTGATTGTTCCTGTGTCATTCAGTATTTTACTTGTAGAATCCTTCAGTATTACAAGTTGAAGCTTAAATATTTCTTTATTTTTTTTCAGCTTGAGAAATGCTGATTATTCCCTTATATCTAGTATCACCTCTTTGCCCATTTCATTATAACACTTAACTTTGTCTTCTCAAGCTGCCCTTGGAAATTTTCTGGTAAGCTCTTTTACTCTATCATTTTGTTGCTTTGGCTTCTCAGCATTCAACGGCAAGTTTCATAATCTTTTCTACATACATTTGGGTCATTTCTTTTTCTTTCTTGTCTTTTTAAATGACCTCTTGCTGTCTTCATGTATGATGTTCTTGATATCGTCCCACAGTCTTTTTGGTCTCAGGTGATTAATTAGTGTCCAGTGCAACAAGTCTTTTTTTGAGATGGTCTTTAAATTTAGGTGCGATATTATTCAAAGTCATATTTTGACTCTTGTGGACTTGTTTTAATTTCCTTAAGCTCCAACTTGCACTCTCATATGAGCCATTGATGATATATTCCACAATCAGTCCTTTGCCTTATTTTGGCTAATGATATTGATCTTCTCTATCATTTTTTTCCATATTAGTAGTCAGTTTATTCCTGTATATTCCATCTGTTAAGGTCCATGTGTATAGTATTTATAAGGTGTTTGTAATGAACAAGTCACTGCTCTTGCAAAATTCTGTCATGTGATCTCCAGTATCATTTCTATAACCAAGGCCAACACACAAGCCTCCACAGTACAATAAACTAACAGATGAGTGGTGGAGTTAAGGATCATGAGAAAATATTGTTTATTTGCATTTAGTCAGTATCCTATAGTGTTTTGGTATCAATGAGTAAAAGTGTTTTTGGAGTCAGGTACGTTGGGAAAACTATATACTAACCTCTAAAGAGCCCTGGTGGTGCAGTGAATTAAGCTTTAAACTACTAACTTTCAGGTCGTTGGGTTAATGTGCTGGACTGCAAAGTTGTTTGAACCATAGGGTCTGTGGTTCAAGCTCACCAACTGCTCCTCGGAAACTCTGTACAGAGGGTTTGGGTTGAAACTGACTCGATGGCATTTAACAACATGCTATTTTTAATACAGCAATATATATACACATATATATACATATTTAAATTGGCACAGCATTGCTTATGAAAGTACCTCGTTTGGGGAAGACAAGGTTAACAAACTTAGAAAACAAAAAATTCACTGTCACTGAGTAGTTCGTTCCAACTTACAGCAACAAGTGTGGATGGTGCACATTATTTGCATAAAATATACAGTGTGTATATGTGTGTGCGTGCAAAATTTAAACTTTAATCTTACACATTCATTTTTCTATATAAATTCTTCCAACCGTTATTTAACGAAAGGATGGTAAATACTGTCATCAACAAAGCCTGCTCATTAAAAGTCAATTTTGTATAAGTAATAAAGTAGTAGTGGTTCTTTTTATTGAAAGCTTATGTATATCCACAGCCCAGCCAGCAGGCGTGCCAGAAATCTTAAAGAAAAGTTTGCATAGCTGTTCGGTAAAAGGAGAAGAAGAAGTGTTTTTAATTGGAAAGAATTTTCTGAAAGGAACTAAGGTTATTTTCCAAGAAAATGTTTCTGGTAAGTAAACATAATGTTGTTACAGAGATTGTAGCATGTTTCACTTTGGACTAATGATACATTCATAGCTAATAGTTAAAACATTTGTTTTTTAAGTTTTGTATGTAATTGTGTTTTTATTTCTACTAGATGAAAACTCTTGGAAGTCAGAAGCTGAAATCGACATGGAATTATTTCATCAGGTATGATTTAATGCATATTATAATTTGGTTATTTAAGCTCTAAGAAATTCAGGGTTTTTTTGGGTTTTTTTTCTGTTTTCCTGAACCAACAGATTGAATTTCCTCTTCATATAAGATTTGTGTTTTAAAGTTTCTTTTTTGAGTTTCTTTAACCAAAACAGAATTATTTTACCTGGTGTTAGACATGACCAATTCTCTATTAGAAAATTTTAAGAACCTAAACATTATCAATTTTATTTATTTCATTTTTCCCACCACAAAATGAGAACAAAGCAATCATTGTTAATAAATGAAACATTTTTATCTAATGTTTATTTGCTCTGAGAATTATTATTATTTCAACATACTATATATAATTAAATGAGCTCTGTTAGCGTAATGGGTACGAATTGAACTGCTCAAGGTCAGCAGTTCAAAACTACCAGCTGTTCTGCAGGAGAAAGTTGAACCTTTCTGCTCCCATAAAGATTTACAGCCTTGAGAACCCTGTGCAGGGTCACTATGAGTCAGAACCGACTCTACAGCACATAAACAACCAACCAATCATTATATAATTAAAAAGGAGCCCTGGTGTCACAGTGTAAGCCATTGTGACACCAGGGCTCCTGGTTAGTGGTTTGAACCTACCAGCTGCTCCACAGAAGAAAGGTGTGGTAGTGTGCTGTTGTAAAGATAATTGTTGTGAAGTGCCATTGAGTCAGTTCTGACTCATAGCAACCCTATATAGGGTTTCCAAGGAGTGGCTGGTAGCTTTGAGCCACCAACCTGGTGGTTAGCAGTCCAGTGCTGATCCTACAACACTACACCAGGATATATACAGCCTTGTAAATCTTTTGGGTTAATTGTACTCTGTCCTAATGTTGTTAGAGGAGTCTTGGTGTAGATCTATGGGTTAATACGATGGACTGCAAAGTTTGTTTGACCTACGTACGAAGTCTGCAGTTCAAGCTCCTCAGCTGCTCTTTGGAAACCCTATACAGGGTCGCTATAGGTTTGAACCAACTCGGCACCACTTAACAAAAACAACAACAACAATGTTGTTAAGTGCCATCCAGTCTATTCCAATTCACAGTGACCCTGTATAGGGTTTCTTAGGAGCACCTAGTGGGTTTGAACTGCCAACTTTTCAGTTAGCAGTCCAGTGCTTATCCTACAGCAGCATATCAGGACTCCTGTCCTTTAGAGTTGCTGATATTTATTGAGTACTTGCTGTGTGCCATGTGCTTTCTGTCTGCTAAAATTTCTTTGATTTTTTTTTTTGTTGTTGTTGAGTGCCTTCGAGTCAGTTCCAACTCATATAGACCCTGTATAGTTTCCAAAATACAATTTAATAAGCTCTCATTCAAGACATTATGTTTGTAGGACTGGAAAATATATTTTTCTCCAAAGAGCTTGAAAATATGGTTAAACCTGATTAAATTGAGAATCTGGATATAGAAGGTGGGACCAAACCCATAGAGGTTAAAGAGCAGATGGGGTAAAAAAGACCATATGAAAGCAAGCAGAGAGGTGAGGTGGAAGAGGTAATAATTGAAGAATCTATACATACAGACATTTTATCAAAAAAAGTATGTAAATGCTTGCTTTTAAATTTATTTTTTATTCCCTTGTATATTAAAAAAGGAGCCTTGGTGATGCTGTAAGATAAGACTGCTAACCACAAGGTCAGCAGTTCAAGCCCACCAGCTGATCTGCAGGAGAACCATAAAGCTTTCTGCTCCTATAAAGATTTACAACCTCAGAAACCCTAAACTGGATCACTATGAGTTGAGATCTACAGGATGGCAGTGGGCTAGCTCTTTTTTGTCTTTGCTTTTTTACATGTTAAAAAAATAAATATCAAAAGCAATATATAGTGTATATGGTAGAACTTTCTATATACCTTGGCAAATGCTATATAGAAAGTTTTCTTCTAGCCTTATGGTACTGCATGCTTTGGAAAGAGATAGTGGGATTCAGCAGTCATTCCTTTGTGACATTGGGCAGTCTCTGCTAGGGTTCATTACCAGACTAGTAATTAACTGTTAAGTTGTAGTTCCTGCTTTGTATTTAACAATCTGTGTTATATAAATAAGACAAGTCACTTTTGTGCCCCAGTTTTCCAATATTTAGAATAAGGTCTTTCATTTACTGGTTTAGGATAGCTCCTAATTTTGACATTTTATGATTTCTTATATAATTTGTTGATCAGACTATTCCACTTCTAAGAATTACCAGTGGCTGTCTCTGGAGGACTCCCAGAAGTTAGGGACAATATATTGTATTTCTTTGTTCCTCATAATTCATGAAAAGCTCAACAGTTTGTTCTATTCAGTATTGAAGATAAGATCTCACTATGATCCTTGGGTCCCTTATTGTTCTGTCTGGAACACTAACTAGATTATTATATACCTATAGTTTGATACTGACTGAAGACTAACTTATCAATGCAATATTTTTGTGTGACATGAATATATTATGATTTTTGTTATGTTGCATATAATGTTCTATAATTGTGATTTCTTACTTTGTCTTAAGCATTTTTATAGATAAGAATACTAGTTCCAGAGACTAAAGGACTAACCTTAGTTACACAAAATGTCACTAAAATACCTCCAACAACAAAAAAATATAGTCTTAAATTATTGTTCTATTTAGAACATAATATTAGGTACTCATCTCCCTCCTTTCCTTGCTTTCTCCATTCCTTTACCTTTGAGGCATGGGCTAGTTGCTAAAACACTTTTTCAGGACAGTTATGATAGATACAAGCTTACAGTAGATTAAAGACCAGTAATCATAAAAATAAGACAAATGGTATAATGGAGAGGAATTATGTCCTTATTTGGTGGTTATATTTAGAGGTCCTAGGGTTTTGTAAGCAATTATGTAAACAGACTCTAAATCATAATGCGATCTTTCATTAATTCTGTGGTACTGCTTCTCATTTTTAATTTTTTTACCATTTTTATGTAGAGCTTTGACTTTCATTGTTTCCTAGTTGGTTTTCTGGGAAGTATTTTCTTAGAGTAGAATCAGAACTGTAATAGAAAGAATCAGTTCTAGATAATATATCAAAGAACTAAAGCAAACATGTTTTATTCTTTTCAAAGTAATAATATTTTTTTAAACAGTATTTTATAATAAAAATGACTTTGGATATGGTCAATAAAGAAATATCAAACCTACACATAAAAAAGTTGTTGATGTTGTTGTTAAGAGCCGTCGAGTCGATTCCGACCCATGGTGACCCTGTATAGGGTTTCTGCTTTAAAATCAACAAAAGCATTCCTTCCCAGGGGTCAGTTTGGAGTGTGCCATCACTTTCCTCATCCAAATACTGTTTGTTGCAGCCCTAACTACAGAAGGCACCCTGCAGGTAGTGTCTGCTTCCACAGTCAACTCTACCTGCCTCCCTGTGCACCCCATAGCTCAGCCCTTTGAAACCAATAGTACAGACCTCATGGGGATTTGGTTTTGGTCGACCTGCTCTCCCTTCCCATCATCACTGAGAAGTGCTAATTGAGGCTATTTATTAGGAAGCAGGACAGTTGGGTGGGTCGGTGAGTGGGGAATCTAGTAACAAGATCAATTTCCCTGGTGGTTCATTTGGAGTATGTCAGCACTTCACCCACTTAACCTATATGAGTGGCAACAGAAGGCTCGTTAGTATAGTGGAGTGTGCTCCCTGTGTAACACTACTAGCTTCCCTGGGTACCTCACAGCTTAGGCCTCTGAAACCAACAGGACAGACCTCCTGGGGAGTCAGCTCAGCTCTGTTTGCTCCCTCTTCCAGTTAGGATTGAAGGTTGAGGCATCTTTAATGAAGGTAGCACCCACAGCCAGCAATCTAGTGGGAAGAAAAGGAGCTCTGATAACAATAAGGCAGACCTTCATGGGGAATTGTTACAGAATGCTCCCATAGTGGAGTCTGCTTCCATAGATGGCACTCTTCCTGCCTTGCTATGTACCCCATAGCTCAAATCTCTGTGAAACACCAGGACAGACCTTCCTGGAGATCAGTTATGAGTCTCTGTCTGAAGTGTGCTGGAAAGCATACATCCTAAGTGGAGGCTACCGAGGCTAACAATCTATAGGGTGGGCACTGATAGCAACAAGACAGACATCTCTTGGAGTCTTTTTGGAATGTGACTACTCTTCCCCTAATTGGTAGCTGTTACCTACTAGGCTGATATGAATCTCTACAGAAGGTTCCCTACAGTGGAGTCACAGGAGGGTCACCTAGATAGAGACTCTTCCCCCAACCACTGCAGAGTCACTGCAGCTTTGAAACTGGCAAAACATCTTCAGAAAGTCCTCTGGGGAATACCAACCCTTCCTCTCCTGAGACTGAGGCAAGTCTGTCTTTTCTTACCCTGAGTGTCAGCTCCAATATAAATAGCCCCACCCCGAGCCCTAGAGGTAGATCACTGAGTATGGGTTTTCTGACTAAAAACTGTGGTTAAAGAACCATGTAAGGAGGAAATCATAACCAGAGTGGACTGTGCCTTCTGATGGACAGACTGATTAGCACCCAATATCTTGATTTGGCATTATTTTCCATTGGTGGACCATAGTGTGTTCTCTAGTGTGTCTGGAAGACATTCAGCATTGAAAAATGAATCTGTAACTTTTGAATCTCAGTTAAACCAGGGAGAGAAAAGGAGCTATCACAGAAAGGGACAGGAGACAGTAACTAAAAGCTGAAAAGGAAAACTGAGAAAGTTACTACCCTAGAAAAATTCCAGTGCCCCAACAAAAATTCATAAGAACACAAAGTACAGAGAAACAATGGCGTATCCAAATAAACATGACGTGTAGGGAGTGGAAACACATCTATACATAATAAAATAATGAACTAATAAAAGAATATATTATAGCCACTTTTAATATAATTGAAGAACTAAAGAAAAACATGGACAAAGATCTAACAGGAAAACCATGTGGATCTTTAAAAAGATACTGCAATTGAAAGGACAATAACTGAAATGAGAAACACAATAGGACTTACCAAGAGATTTAATCAGCCAAAAGAAAAAATTAGCAAAGTACAGGATGATAGTTAAACTTACAAACCCTAAAGAGCAGCAATAACTAAGTCTTAAGAGGTTGAGCACAGTTTAATGGAATTATAGGACAAAAGACCTAATACACACATCATGGAAATTCTCAAAAACAGTTACTGAGTTTAACTAGTGAATGTTGGCCTTGAGCATTGTCCTCTGTTAAGAATTATCTATATGGGATCAGATTGACAACAGCAACTTCAAAGGTTATATAGAAAACTTAGGGGACAATCAGGAAGGAACAACTCTAGAAAAGGAGGGTGAGAATGCACAACTCAAAGAATGTTATCAATGTCACTAAATTGTAGAAACAGTTGAATTTGGTGTGTATTTTGCTGTGTATAGTCTCAGTAGACTGAAAAGGTCATTATGGCTAGAGTGTAGTGTGTAAGGAAGAGAGTGGGAATGAGATGAAGATGACAGGGCAAGGGGGGCTTTTGTAGATCATTGTAAAATATTTGGATTTTACCTCAAAAATGGCCATAAGGCAAATGTTCTGATTCCTGCATTTAATTTTTTTTTTTTTTTTTCCTTTGTTAGGTTTTTAAACTCTAGCTAATAGGGGCAGTCCTGATGTGATGCTACAGGTTAATGCACTAGACTTGCAAGGTCGGTTTGAACTGCGAGGTTGGTAGTTCAAGCTTGCCATCTGCCTCTCAGAAACCCAATATGGACTCTCAAAGAGTCGGAACCAACTCAACAGCACTTAACAACACAACAACATAGCTAATTGGAAAAATAGTTAAAAATTGCTTTATTTTAAAAGCTTAACTTAAATACTGCTTTTTTTTTTATTTTTAAACTCTTGTACTTTTCTTTAAATTAGAATCATCTTATTGTGAAGGTGCCCCCATATCATGACCAACATATAACTCTGCCTGTATCAGTGGGAATATACGTAGTTACCAATGCTGGAAGATCGCATGATGTTCAGCCATTCACTTATACTCCAGACCCAGGTATGTTAAAGTAAAAAGTGTGAAGCAAAATGAATGATTAATTTCTAGTTCCTTGTAAGGATATGAAGACTAGCCAGCCAAAAGAAAAATTTACCAAGAGGAATTTATATAAGCATGGTTTGGATATTGCAGCATTTCCTAACAAGACAACTACCAAATGCTTGCTGCTTTTATTCTTATGTTAGGAACATCATTTCCAACTTGAAAGATCGTAGCAAGGGCAAAGGAGACCTCTGGTCCGCCACCCATCTTTTCCCTCTTCTGGCTTCACCCTGTTTCTGGAGGGCCTTGATGCATCAGCCAGTGTTTCCAAAGTCTATCTGTCCTATAGGCCTAAGAGTGCATACAGAATTGGGCTATTTGTACAGGGAATTCTGGTTACTGAGTACTTGATACATGGTCTAAAAAGGCCGGGTGGAAGGAAGGCTGACAAACATATCCTGATTATACACACTGCCAGACATAATAAAGCTCTATGGATCTATACAACCAAAACCCGAACATACTACATGATGATCTCAGGTACTTCGTTATTTAGCAAAATTATGGAACCTTTGTTTCATTGTCAGTTGGTCCCTGAAGCTTTGAACTACTAAAGCACCTTGATTTGTTTTTTCACTTTGCCATATTTAGATACAGAAATAATGCTAGATAGTATTTTCTGTGGCTACAGTGATAATTCCTTTAAGAAGCAGAGATACATATTTTTTTCTGCTCGAAAAACAAACTAATAACTTGATTTAAAAGTTGTTGTTGTTATGTGCCGTGGAGTCGGTTCTGACTCATAGCGACCCGGTACAGGGTTTTCGAGGCTGTAAATCTTTACGAGAGCAGAAAGCCTGATCTTTCTCCCGCGGAACAGCTGGTAGATTCGAACTGCTGACCCTGAGGTTCACAGCCCGATTTGTAACCACTACATTTTAAAATGTTCCCAAGAATTCATTTCTGTTTTTAAAACTATAGTTAGAATTCATGTTGTCATGCTTAAAATTGTACGTGAATTCTTTTTCCATTCAATTCCCTGTAAGTCATCTGTCAGACCTACTGTGTGCATACTAAAATTATTTAACTCAATTCTTAGGCAATATATATAATTTTGTTTCTTCTCTCAGTGAAATTTTATTATCATTTATTTGATGTCATGTTAAGAATAAGACACTGAAAGTAAGTTGACTCAAATTCCATTTGGAATAAATTAAAGAATAAAAAGTAAATATATTAAGAAACAAATTAAATTGTATACAAATAAAAATAGCATCAATTTCAGTAAGAGCCTGCTAAATTGTCATTTATTTAAATAAAAATGATCTCTAGTGTTAGGTTTATTAAATTTAAAGTTGTCATTGTACCAGGCTTTGAAAAGTTTGTGGAAAAATGGAATTATGTAATGGAATTTTTGCATGAACTTTTTGAAGCTTCCCCCACCCCCTTGTAGATACAGTATGGCGGTGGTGGTAGTGTGCCATGGAGTCAGTTCCGACTCAGCAACCCTGCATCTCCCTTGGAATGACTGGTAGTTTCGAACTGCTGTCCTTGAGATTAGCAGCCCAACTTGTAACCACCACACTACCAGAGCTCTTCAGATGTGGTAGAGTAGCCCAATAAGACTACCTAAAGAGTAATCATGTTGTATATTCAGTAGGTTCATCACAGTTTTTTAAATTCAATTTTAATATTGACTATTGGCTCTGAATGGTGATTTTTTTTTCCTTTGCTCTTGTAGTATATTTGATAAATTATAAATGTCTGACAGCAGTCTTCTACTCATTTGATATTATTAATGTGTACTCTGGTAGCATAGGGCTTATGAATTGGGTTGCTAATTTCATAATCAGCAGTTTGAAACTACCAGCTGTTTCGCGGCATGAAGGCTTTCTGTTCCCATAAAGATTTGCAGCTTCGGACACCCTATACAGGCTCGCTGTGAATCGGAACTGACTCCACAGCACATGTCCGCCTCCACCATACTGTTTAAGTTGTGTTTTGTCTTGTTTCACTTTTGCTAAGTGAACTTTTCTTCTGCCCACTTGGATATTGGTGAATCTACAGTATACTACTGCTAGTTATAAAAGCTTAGCTCAACCGGGAAGTTTTGCTAAACAAATAGGTTAATGATTCTTTGTAAGAAAATATTCTGATATAAGAACTTTAAGATGTAGTTTTAATATAATTAAGTT